CTCAGCAAAAGACACTATCAGAGTGAACAGGCAACCTACAGAATAGGAGAAAATTTTTGCAATACATCCAGCTGACAAAGGGCTAATCTCCAGAATCTAAAAGGAACTTAAACAAATTTACAAGAGAAAAAGAAAAAAAAAATCCCATCAAAAAGTGGGCAAAGGATATGAACAGACACTTCTCAAAAGACGACATTTATACCTGGCGCAGTGGCTCATGCCTGTAATCCCAGCACTTTGGGAGGCTGAGGTGGGCAGATCATGAGGTCAGGAGATCGAGACCATCCTGGCTAACACCGTGAAACCTGGTATCTACTAAAAATACAAAAAAAAAAAAAAAAAAAAAAAATTAGCCGGGCATGGTGGCAGGCGCCTGTAGTCCCAGCTACTCTGGAGGCTGAGGGAGGAGAATGGTGTGAACCCAGGAGGCAGAGCTTGCAGTGAGCCGAGATCTCACCACTGCTCTCCAACCTGGGGGACAGTGCAAGACTCCATCTCAAAAAAAAAAAAAGAAAAGAAAAGAAAAGAAGACATTTATGGGGCCAACAAACATAAAAAAAAAAAAAAAAGCCTCATCACCACTGGTCATTAGAAAAATGCAAATCAAAACCACAATGAGATACCATCTCATGCCAGTTAGAATGGCAATCATTAAAAAGTCAGGAAACAACAGATGCTGGCGAGGATGTGAAGAAATAGGAACGCTTTTACACTGTTGGTGGGAGTGTAAATTAGTTCAGCCATTGTGTAAGACAGTGTGGTGATTCCTCAAGGATCTAGAACCAGAAATTGCATTTGACCCAGCAATCCCATTACTGGGTATATACCCAAAGGATTATAAATCATTCTACTATAAAGACACATGCACATGTATGTTTATTGCAGCACTATTTACAATAGCAAATATTTGGAACCAACCCACATGCCCATCAGTGACAGACTGGATAAAGAAAATGTGGCACATATACACTATGGAATACTATGGAGCCATAAAAAAGAATGACTTCACCTGGACAAAGTGGCTCATGCCTATGATCCCCAGGACTTTGGGAGGCTGAGGCAGGCAGATCACCTGAGGTTGGCAGTTTGAGACCAGTCCGACCAACATGGAGAAACCCTGTCTCTATTAAAAATACAAATGCCTGTAATCCTAACTACTTGGGAGGCTGAGGCAGGAGAATCACTTGAACCTAGGAGGCAGAGGTTGCAGTGAGCTGAGATTGCACCATTGCACTCCAGCCTGGGCAACAAGAGTGAAACTCTTGTCTCCAAAAAAAAAAAAAAAAAAGAAGAATGAGTTCATGTCTTTTGCAGGGACATGGATGAAGCTAGAAACCATCATCCTCAGCAAACTAACACAAGAACAGAAAACCGAACACCAAATGTTCTCACTCATAAGTGGGAGTTGAACAATAAGAATGCATGGACACAGGGAGGGGAACATCTCACACTGGGGCCTGTCGGCAGGTGGTGGGCAGAGGGAGGGACAGCATTAGGACAAATACCTAATGCATGTGGGGCTTAAAACTTAGATGATGGGTTCATAGGTGCAGCAAACCACCATGGCACATGTATAGCTATGTAACAAACCTACATGTTCTGCACATGTATCCCAGAACTTAAAGTAAAATAAAAGTAAAAATAATGAATGATTCCCTAGGTTTAAATAAGGTTTTCCTAAGGTATTGGTTTACTCTTAATGAAATTAAAGGAAATTTTGCTTTTTAATTCTATCACCTATTTCTTTTCAAAACTTCTCAGATTCATATCATAGACGTTCAACTTTTGTTGTGCCTGCTGTTTTCAGCTTTTTCCTCCCTTTGAAAAGGACTCTTCAACTTTTTCCATCAGCTCCTCTAATTTTTCCTCTGATTCCAACTGTTGGGGCCTGATGCTGAAATGTTTTATCTTAGAATTCCATAAAAGCATTGTTTTCCTCCAATATAACTTGATTCTGTATTCTTGGCTTTTCTTGATAAGTATGATTTTCATTGTAATCAGGAAACTTCTCACACAATTGCTCAGAGTGATGTATTCCCTTGCTGTACTCATAATCGTGAATACGCTCTTCTTGTGTCTGATTAAATTCAAGCACTTTTTTCAAGTCTGACTTTCAGGTTATCTACATGGTCTTCCCCTAAGGAGAAGCAGTCACACAGCAGAAGGGGTTTTTTGCCTGTGTAGTAACTTGCTTAAGAAACAAGATTTTTATGTTTTATCAAGATAATTCCCATGCTCTCTTTAACCGGTTTTTAATTGCCTAGAAAAACTGAGATTTAAAAGGGTTCGGGTTTTTATGTGCAGGTAACCTTCTGAATTGCCTTTATTTTATTTTATTTTATTTTTATTTTTTGAGACGGAGTCTCGCTCTGTCGCCCAGGCTGGAGTGCAGTGGCGCGATCTCAGCTCACTGCAAGCTCTGCCTCCTGGGTTTGCGCCATTCTCCTGCCTCAGCCTCCCGACTAGCTGGGACTACAGGCACCTGCCACCTCGCCCAGCTAGTTTTTTGTATTTTTTAGTAGAGACGGGGTTTCACCGCATTAGCCAGGATGGTCTCGATCTTCTGACCTCGTGATCCGCCCGTCTCGGCCTCCCAAAGTGCTGGGATTACAGGCTTGAGCCACCGCGCCCGGCCCTGAATTGCCTTTAAAGTCTTTAATTATCAGTTTGGTTAAATGAGTAACCATTTAACCAAATTTATTTATAAAAATAAATACATTATTTTTACAATGAATATTATCCTGTTTTGATCAAATGTTTTGAGACTTTTGAAATCTTTGACAGATGTCCTCAAAATCAAAATCATAAATTAAGTCTCTGACTTATTGCTGGGGTTTATCAAAGCTATAAAAATTACTCACTGCAAGGTTGTAAAATCTTTTTACAGCTTCCAGTCAGGTCATAGACTCCAGTATCACACCTCCAGCTCCTTGAAAAGGTCCTTATCAGGTGACATTAACTAATCCTTGTGCTTCCAAGTTACAGGGCTTTACACATATCTCATCCAAAGAAGGCACCAACTCTTGCCAGTATCTGACACTAAACTGCAGTTAACCAAAGCCTCATCTTTAGACTGAGGCAAAGGCGACAAAGTAAACTGCTTTCATGAGACACAGGGACAGTCTTGTGTTCAAAAATATTAAGATTCACTTAATAATTTTGCCTCTATCTGAACTAATGTAATGTATTCTGTGCCTTGATAGTAAATAATTTAAGTGTTTAGCTCCCTATGAACTTTCTTTCCTGTTACTCTCAAAACTAGGCAGGGTTTATGACCTTTGTGTTTGAAATGTTGTTAATTCTTTCTGTTTTGTTTTACCCACAATAGTTGAAACTCTTCAATCCCCTCAGGCTAGAGACTATAACATAATGTTGTAAGGGCCAGTATTGAGGGCTAAAATCAGTTCAGACCCTACAAATCAAGGATGACACACAGATGCCAAAACAGCTAAACAAAATGCTTGCATTTCATATAGCTAATTGCAGCAAGCCAAGATTACAGCAGCTCAATGCATAGAATTTATAGATAAGTCAATTTTGTAACCTTGCCTTTTGGTTTTTGGGTTTTGGCTCTTAACATTGCTTAAGAGGAGTTTTAAGGTTAATCAGTGCCTGCCCACCTCCTTCCCCATCTGGCCTAGAATGTTTAATTGGCTGTAACTCTTTTGACTCTAAGTCGGTTGGCCGCAGGAGTGACATGATGGACTCAGGGCAGGTAGCACACCACCCTGGCATTGATATGGGACAAAATTAAAGTTTGGACACTGATACTGTCTCTGGGATACCTTGACAAAAAAAAAAAAAAAAAGTGGAATGCTGTTTTGAAGGCATGAGTGTAGCCATTCCCCATCTGCGAGCGTTTGATTAGTAAAACTGCTTTCCTTTCACCACCAGTCACTTCTTATGATTTTGGCCTCTAGGCAACAAGCAGCCAGACGTGAGCCAGTTGTAATAGCAGCATTATTTACAATAGCAAAAGGCGGAAGCAACCCAACTGTCCAGCGGATGAATGGATAAACAAAACGTGGCATATACATATTATTCAGCCTTAAAAAGGAAAAACATTCTAACATATGCTACTGTATGGATGAAACTCGTGGACATTACGCTAAGTGAAACAAGGCAGTTATATGAATATAAATGCTGTATGATTTCACTCATGTCAGGTACCCAGAATAGTCAGATTTGTAGAGACAGAAAGTAGAATGGTGGTTGCCAGGGGCTGGGGATAAGGAAGAATGAGGAGTTATTGTTTAAAGAGTGCAGAACTTCAGTACTGCAAGACGAAGGAGTTCTAGAAATGGATGCTGATGGTGGCCGTATAACCATATGAATATACTACTGAACTGTACACTTAAAAATGGCTGAGATACTAAATTTTATGTGCATTTTGCCACAATTTTTTAAAAATTAAATGAAAGTAGGCCAGGCGCAGTGGTTCACACCAACACTTTGGGAGGCCGAGGCAGGCAGATCACTTGAGGTTAGGAGTTCAAAACCAGCCTGGCCAACATGTGAAACCCCGTTTCTACTAAAAATAGAAAAATTAGCCGGCGTGGTGGCGCATGCCTGTAATCCCAGCTACTGGGGAGGCTGAGGCAGGAGAATCGCTTGAACCTGGGAGGCATAGGTTGCAGTGAGCCAAGATTGCGCCACTGCACTGCAGCCTGGGCGACAAGAGCAAGATTCCGTCTCAAAAACGAAAAAAAATAAATAAAAATTAAATGAAAATAAAAAGAAAATAACTGTGACTGAATAACAATCCACATCAACGAAAACCAGTGAGGAAAGAAGACCTTCCTTCTGCCCAGCTCATCATGGCCTGACCACCAGGCTGTGGCAACTGGAAACCAAGAGCGTAGCAAGGGCAGGTCTGCGGCTCCAAGTAAGGCAGGACCGCAAGGAAGCCACAGGTAAAAGCGGGTGAACCCGCAAAATAGGCTGCCACTGCGCAGGCGCCTCTTGCGTCTGCCAAGACACCTTTTAAACGTGCCCGGAAGTGACGCCAGTAATGCTGAGACAGACTCCCAGAAGATCTGAGCGAGTCGCGTAGCTGAGCCCGGCAGGGGCTGGGGTTGTGCTGCTGCTATGAGCTGCACCATCGAGAAGATCCTGACAGACGCCAAGACGCTTCTGGAGAGGCTGCGGGAGCACGATGCGGCCGCCGAGTCGCTGGTGGATCAGTCGGCAGCGCTGCACCGGCGGGTAGCCGCTATGCGGGAGGCGGGGACAGCGCTTCCGGACCAGGTCAGGCAGAGGGTAGGAGTCCAGTGCTCTCGGATTCTGGGCACTGAAGGGTGGAGAGCGAGGTAAAGTGGGAACTCGGCCTGAAATTTATTCCCGGTCTCAGAGGGCGGCGGTGAGACCTTTTTCCTGGGTCGGAGCTGAGAATCCTGCCCTAGAGCTCTGACTTCTGCCACTTGAGTTGCATCTGCCGCTGTTCTCTTTAAGGCATGCTTAGACTGTCTCTATTTGTCCAGTATCAAGAGGATGCATCCGATATGAAGGACATGTCCAAATACAAACCTCACATTCTGCTGTCTCAAGAGAACACACAGATTAGAGACTTGCAACAGGAAAACAGAGGTTAGTCAGGCCTTTTCATATCTGGTAATAGTTTAAAGTTATTGCAAAATTGCCCTAAACATTCACAAGGATGTACATCTATTTCCAGGTCAGTACTTTTAGTAGGAGAGTCCTCCTGTGCTGGCTCAGTAACAGTAAAATTTGTTAGATTACCCATTTCAAGGTCATCTGACTGATTTTGTAGCAGCTTACCAAAGAGGGGCTATGTAGAGTTAAAATTACTGCATGGTTTATTTTTAAGCATCCCCAGATATGTAACAAAAGAGTTCATATCCTCATGGACTTAAAATTTAATGTTTAAGTATTAATATAAACACTGAAGGTAAGATTTAAAGTTTTGTTTATGTTCTTGTTTGTGCAAGGTGAAGCAGCAGAATTTTATTCTAAGGCTATACTTAGGCTTGATTAGTACATTATTAATGACTGTCGTGTTAATAGTTGTTTACCAGAGGGGTACATATATCATTCTACTGTATTCTCATATCTTCATTTTTATCTATCTCAATGCTGTTAAGAAATAGGCTCAGAGAAGCTAAATGATTTACTTATGAGTATTAACCAAGCAAGTTACAGAACTGAACTCAAATCCATGTCTTCTGATGACATATCCATTGTTGTTACTGCAAGATTTTGCTTCTCTGCCTAGAAAGTTACCTTTAACATAGACTTTAACTGCTCAGTTTTGTGGACTGAAACATTGATTTACAACCTTGGATTCGTATTATCTCTATAGTATTGCAAAATTCTAACTGTTAAGACTTTGGATTTGGGAACTGTCTCTCAGACATCACTGCCAAGTTATTTTATTTTTTGACAGAGCTGTGGATTTCCTTGGAGGAACACCAGGATGCTTTGGAACTCATCATGAGCAAGTACCGGAAACAGATGTTACAGTTAATGGTTGCTAAAAAAGCTGTGGATGCTGAACCAGTCCTGAAAGCTCACCAGTCTCACTCTGCAGTAAGAAACTTTGAATAAATTTGAAATGAACCAAATTGAAATCTTGAGATTGTTTTAGATTGTGTGCTTGTTTTTTTGCTTTTTGAGATAGGGTCTGGCTCTGTCGACTAGGCTGCGGTGTAATGGCACGATCTCAGCTCACTGCAACCTCTGCCTTCTGGAGTCAAGCCATCCTCTCACCTCTGCCTCCTGAGCAGCTGGGACTACAGGTGCACACCACCATGCCCTGTTAATTTTTGTGGGGTTTATTTTAATTATTATTATTATTTTTTTTTTTTGGTAGAGATGAGGTTTCGCCATGTTGCCCAGGCTGGTCTGAAACTCCTGGGCTCAAGCGATCAACCCACGTTAGCCTTCCAAAGTGCTGGCATTATAGGCATGAGCCACTGTGCCTGGCCATATGTGCTTGTTTTTGAAGAAAAGTAAGCTTGTTTTCCTTTCATGTTTATCACATTTGTTGTTTATTTTGCCATGGCTTTGTAAAGATATGAATAGAAAGAAGGATAGTGGTTGCTCAGGTCCTTTTATTTGAGTGGGACTAACGTTCCCCCTCCCTCACCAAGATCTCTTTTGAAAATGTTCATTAATTCTTAGCCCTCACACCAAACGTAATGCCAGTTAGTGTTGAAGGTGCCCAGTGAATACTTGGTTGGTTATTATACATTTCACTTAAGCTCCTTGGTTGTGAGGCACTTGAATTCACATTTTATTCCTAACATAGTCCCTGACATATAGCAAGCAGTCAATAAACCTTTTATAAACTGAACCACATAGCATCATACTATGTTGTTAGGGGATAGGAGTATGATTTTTAAAAAAAACAAACATGGCATAGTTTCTATGCTTTGATTGCTTATTATCTAATTTGGGAGACTCAGTAATTGTTCTTATGTTTGTAGGTGCTTCATGGTTGTCATTGTACATTCGTGTGTACTGTATCATTTAATTCTAGATGTATAGGTTGGAGCCTACTACTTCTGTGAGATGTAGCGAAATATAAGCTTCATCTTAAATTCCATTGAATGCATTTTACTGACTTAAAAGTTTTAGGAAACAGATATTTTAAATATTTGAATGGCTTTCAACTGGAAGAGAAAAATAGATTTTATTTATTCTCATATGGAGGAAAAAACCTGAACTTTGAAAGAGACAGTTTACTCAGATAGATGAACTTTCTAAGTGATATGTCCAAAGATAGAATAAGGCACCTTGGAATGTAGTAAGCTTCCTGCCAGTGAAAGTATTCAAATTTAAGTTAAACAGCCACTTAGAGATAGTATCCAACACCCAATGGGTAGTTAAACTACAACTGATTTTTTTTTTCCGTTTCAAATATTTTTATTGGAGTGTGGACCTATTGGGTGATTGATGCACTGGACATAGATAATTTTCAGAAATGAAAATAACATTGCTTGCATCAGATCAGATTTCACCCACAGAAATGACTAAGGCCTTATCAGAGTTGGCATTGGATGAAAACTTAATCCTTTATGGAAAGGGAATCATCTGGCCTTCTATTTCTGAAATCGACTAAAGATTACTCATTTATTCTCTGCAATTACAGCCATCAGATGCTTTGAAATCTTGGAAGGCGTGAGATGATAACATGACTGTAACACAAATCCATATCGAAGAGCCCAGTATTTAAAAATTCCCCATGTTCACATACTGAAGGGTTACTTATGAGCTGATGCATATCACTGATAACCATAGGATTATCAACTTGATGTCTGGGCAAAGAGTGAAAACAGAAAATGCATTCTACTCTTCACTTCTTGGTTTTAAATATAAGAAACATTATATATTTGTTTAAAAACTGTATCCCTTAGTAATGGTATCAATAGAACATATACAACTGGAATGAGGATCCCCTTAAGGAGGCCTTCTTTTTTTTATTTAAGTTCTAGGGTACATGTGCAAAACGTGCAGGTTTGTTACATATGTATACATGTGCCATGATAGTGTGCTGCACCCATTAACTCGTCATTTACATTAGATATTCCTCCTAATGCTATCCCTCCCCACTTTCCCCACCCTATGACAGGCCCCGGTGTGTGATGTTCCCCACCCTGTGTCCAAGTGTTCTCATTGTTCATTTCCCACCTATGAGTGAGAATATGTGGTGTTTGGTTTTCTGTCCTTGCGATAGTTTTCTCAGAATGATGGTTTCCAGCTTCATCCATGTCCCTACAAAGGACATGAACTCATCCTTTTTTATGGCTGCATAGTATTCCATGGTGTATATGTGCCACATTTTCTTAATCTAGTCTATCACTGATGGATATTTTGGTTGGTTCCAAGTCTTTGCTATTGTGAATAGTGCTGCAATAAACATATGTGTGCATGTGTCTTTATCGTAGCATGATATAATCCTTTGGGTATATATCCAGTAGTGGGATGGCTGGGTGAAATGGTATTTCTAGTTGTGGATCCTTGAGGAATCGCCACACTGTCTTGCACAATTGATTTTTTGGAAGAAAAAAAATTATCTGTGAATACCACAAGGTCACTTTACTATGGCTTTATGTCTAAGGACTAAAATTATAGTGAAACTCCATTGTAACTTCTGTATCATAGATTAAATGAACTTTTAAAAATCATAATGCACACACTTTTACGTTCTTTATATATAGAGAACAGGTGACTTTTCCACCTTTGTTTCCTTAATATCTTCACAGGAAATTGAGAGTCAGATTGACAGAATCTGCGAAATGGGAGAAGTGATGAGGAAAGCAGTTCAGGTGGATGATGACCAGTTTTGTAAGATTCAGGAAAAATTAGCCCAATTAGAGGTAAGATTGTAGCTATTTTAGGTTCACAGTATTTCAGAGTTTTCGGAGTCTGGAAGATATGCCATCACTATCCCATCACTGTAATATATTAATGTTTTCTGTGTGCTCATGATTTAAAATTAAAACTCCTCCTTCATACTCTTTGATATCCTTTTGAAGAAAGGAAATATAGTAAACAGCAATCAGTGGAAATACCAACTATGTATTGGCAATAACTTGAGATATTATAATGGGAAGGTAGAGGGAGTAGAGGGGAGAAGTTATATGTGAGATAAAATCCTTCATCTGCCATAATAAGTGAAGTAGATAATGTCTAAAATTGATGATCAGGAAATAGCAGTATAAGCATATTATTTAGAATTACAGAATTAAATACCAAAAGAAATAGATAAAAGTGTTAAAAGTGGTTGCATTTGGGTTACAAAGCCAAAGAACTGCTTGTATAAGCCTTGTAGTCTTGATTTCTTAAAAGCTATGTTTAGGTCAAATTTTGATTAAAATAGGAATATGTTACAAAAAAGGGTTTGGGGCATTAGTGTGCTCATAAAATTGTTAAGGATTTCAACTTTCGGAGGCTGAGGTGAGTGAATTGCTTGAGCCCAAGGGTTCAAGAGCAGCCTGGGCGATATGGCGGGGACCCTGTCTTTACAAAAAACATACAGAAAATTAGCCAGGTGTGGTGGTATGCACCTATAATCCCAGGTACTCAGGGGCTGAGGTGGGAGGATCACCTGAACCCAGGAAGTCAAGACTGCAGTGAGCCATGATCATGCATGCCACTGCACTCCAACCTGAGCGACAGAATGAGATCCTGTCTCAAAAATTAAAAAAAAAAAAAAGCGAAGCATTTCAGTAAATGGTTTGTGTGCTGCTTATTACAAGGTGCTGTCCTGGGGCCTTTGAGAAATACCAGAGAGAAAAAAACAAGTACCTGCCCAGAGTCTAGTGGAAGGGATAATCCTAGTATCATATGATATTAAATAGTACATAATGCTAGGAGACAGATACAAATACTGAAGGAAGCAGTTCATGTGGTCGAAGATTCATCGACCACAGGCTCTAATCTCTTAGTTACTCTAGCTGGGACTTCCGCACATCTTGGTGAAGCTAAAAATGCTTTGGTTTACCAGAATTTTCTGCACAGAATAAGGATGAAGAGCGGAAGCTACTCTCTCTAGAAATCAAAGGTAGTGACAGGTCCCAAGTAGTAATTAGGAGCTAGTGAAATGATAGCATGACCTTCTATTTATCCTTGATTTACCTCACTTATGGAAACAGCCCTAAGGAAATGTGGGACAAATTCTACCTTAGTACTTCAAGTAGAAAGAACATGACCACTAGATTCAGACCCCAGTAATACCACATCCAAGTTGTCTGAATTTGGACAACTTTTAGGAATTTTGTGAGCCAGAGTATCCTCATGAAATATATGGATGTAGGCAATGATACCTACCCTACAGATTATTGTGAGATAGCATATACAGGGCACCCAAGTAGTACCCAGCTACATGCTCAGCAAGTAATTTCTTTCCCCCTTTCCTTCCATTTCTCTGAAACTATAAGATATCCAGGAGAGGAGATTAATCAGAGTGAAATGATTATTAGGAATTTTTTAAATAAAAGAAATAATAGTAAAACTGTGGGAACCATGAAGAATAGAACATAGTAAATTCCTCAAATGGAGAAGGACCCTGTTTTTTGTTTCTCCTTTGTAATTGTAACACTTGGTATATAGAAATTACTCAGTAAATTACTGCTACAAAAGACTATCATTGCCTACATCCTACATGTAAATGTTTGTTAAATGAATAAATAAGTAGTATTTAAGGAAATTCTCAACTAGTGGATTTTTTGTTTCCTTAAAATTTTTTAAATTAAAAATAATGTTTTCTGCTCCTGGCTCAAAATAATGTGTTGTTATAATGCAGCTTGACAGTAAATATGCCAGAAATAAACATGCCTTTTTTTTTTCCAGCTTGAAAATAAGGAACTTCGAGAATTATTGTCCATTAGCAGTGAGTCTCTTCAAGCCAGAAAGGAAAACTCAATGGACACTGCTTCCCAAGCCATCAAATAACTGAACTCTGAATGATGGCTGGAGATTGTCTATCAAGGAAGGAAGTTACTATCTTCCCATTCAAGTACTGTCCATTAAGTGTCTTGCCTCAGATTTGATTTAATCTTAATTAAAGGTATCAGGTGGCAATTTAGAATTCCAGTCAATATTGGCTGTCCACGGTTCTCAGATGTGTTAATATGAATACATGCTGAATTTCACCATTCCTTTCTCAAAGAGACTACTTTTAATTTTCATTTCTGGGACTTTGATTTATATAAACTGTGTTTTCAGTTCATTGTTATTTTTCACATCTCTGAAACTTTGAGATTTTTTTATAAGCCAGCAATTTTATTTTATATAGCATTGTAAAATACACTTCTAGGAAATTTTAGGAAAGATTTAACTTTTTAAATCTATTTGGCATAAACTCTGATTTTTTTTTTTTCCATTTGACAAAATAATACAATTCCACAGAACTAGATCAGCAGATTCTCTGATTTGTAATGCCATTCACCTGTGAAGTTTTAAGTCTCTCTGGTGCTAAGAATTGGCACTTTATAGCCTGGTGCCTTTACTTTTAATTTGAGAGAACCTACTGCTAGTCCCAGGAAACATACTTGGAAATAAGTCGGCTATTTTTTTCCCCAGTGATACTATAGTTGTCATATTGTTCAAAGTTCATATTGTTCAAAGCTGAGGAGCTTGTCCTGTGTATGCGCATGCACACATGTGCACTTAGTTCAAATACTAAAAGTAGCTTTTATTAAATATAATCAGCCAAAAACGCATACACAAAAAATCAAAAAACCAAATATTAGTCAGTTTTTCAATGTTATTGTATTAGTTCTATATTCTATTTTAATGTTTATACAATTTCCATTTTATAATCAAGAACCATCACTTACTTGGATTGGATGTCTTTCATTCCTAGCACTAATAGGTAGTTGGCTTGCTCTTTTTTTTTTTTTTTTTTTTTAACATAGAAGCAGTTGTTGTTGTTTTTTTTGGTCTCTTTTCTTTTTTTTTTAAGCTATATAAAAAGGTGAGGAAGCAGTTTTGTTACCTAATGAAAATTATTACACTCATAATGCTGTGTAGGCAACATTGAGATTCAAGTGCCCAGTGGTCAACTGGGTTCACTCATCAATTCATTCCCATCTCAGTTTACTCACATTTCAAATTTATAAATTCTTCATGTTATACTATTCTATTTAGATTTGCCCAGAATTAATTGAAATAATGCTAAACCTGTCAATAGTTTCCAGTAACATTAAAGCACCATACTGCATGGGAGAGACACAGTATTAAAAAGAGTTTTTAGTGCTTTATGTGATATAATATTTCTTTTGTAATGCTATAAAGAACTACAGTTAAAACAAAATCTTTCAAAGATGTCTTAAAAGCATCTGATCCCAGTAATAACTAATGGATGTCATCTAGAGCAGTAGGTGTTAATGAATAAGTATATGTCATTTAAGAATTTTTCAAATTTCTGTTCGATATCCTGCATAGAATTTGACAAAAAACACCTCCAAGTGTGAGCATTTTTTATTTCATTTCCCAAGAGTAAGTAAGGAAACTGTTAGCCCAGCCATCTGCCTTGAAGTATACCTTAAGTGACCCATAAATCCATTCAAGAGGCAGTACTTGAATGGTACTCTATACCATTTGGTACTCTATACCATTTGGTACTCTATACCATTTGGTACTCTATACCATTTGGCAGCCATGGCCAAACTTACCATGGCCAGATTTCAGCGAAAATGATGAAGTAATCAAATTAAGGTATAATATGGTGTCCCTTTATCTGCTTCATGTTCCTTTAGAGCTGTTTATAAAGTCCTTTATATCTCAAGTGTCAGGATAAATCTATATATTAACTTTTCCCCCTGAGAAATTAAAAGCCTGAGGTACAAGTCTAAGAAGCTTTTAGTGCCCTACATAATATAAATTCTGGCTGGTGTTAATGCTATGAAGATATGTGTAGTTAGAAAACTGAGTAGGGGAGGAATGCTCTTCATTTTAAGTGGATTTTAAAGTTTCTCCTTCAGTGGATGAAGAACTTGCCTGGTTTGCAAAAATCTTAGTTCAAAATTATATTTTCTAACAAAAACTGCATTTTGAGAAGATCAGCTAATTTTACTCAGTAATAAGTCAAATTAGGAAGTGCAGTGTATTTTTACGTATATATATAGCAACCTTGTCAAGTGGTCCTCACAAGAGTCATAAATACTTTGTAATTAGCACAGTATATTCAGCAGTGTATAACTCTACAAATAGTACCTTATATTAGTGTAGTATTATATCAATGTCTTATATATGATTCTTATATTAATACCTTATGCATAATTTGATTCAAACATTGAAGGTCTATTTTAGTGTTCTTCAAAATGTGGTTCCCTGACCCACTGAAATAGAAAATTGGCGATGGAGTTCAAGAATTTATATTCTAATCATCCCAAAGAATTCCTGAAGACACTAATTTAAAAATGTCTAGTCTAGGCCCCATTGTGTAATAGTTAGCACTCTAAAAGATTAAAAAGAAAATAGTCTATGTGCCAACCACTTCATTAATACTTATGATTTTAAAAATGAAAAAGTCTGGTACAGGAGACAAGTATATATATAATTATAATGCAGTGTGATAAATCCATTATGTAAGTATGTATAGGATACAGAAGAGGGACTTTAAACTTGAGAATTCAATAGAGATAATAAATGGGTAGGAGAGAAATAGAAAACTTTGGTGCCATAAAAGCAAAGTATGTATGGTATTGCCAATAATGGCTACCATCTATTGAGTGCTTTACTGTCTGTCAGGTACTATATTATATAATCTCCATTTTAACTGTACCTCATTTTGCAGATACTCAGGCACAAGGAGGTGGTTATTTGTCCAAACTGGAACTAAGATTCAAACCCAGACAGTCTTAAGCTCATTTTTAATCACTAACTAACTTGAGATGCCTAAATGCCAAATCCTGCTGGGAGTTCAAGTGGTTCTTAATTAGCAAAATCTATTTTTATCAGTGCAAAAGAAACACCACAGCTCATATATTAGAAAGTATTATGACTTCAATAAATGGAGTCTTAACTAATGAGATATTATTATTTTCTAGAATGGCGTAGCTGAGAGTATGTGTGCATTCAACTGAAAGGAATAATGTATAATCAGTGACTCTTACTATATATAGGAAAAGGTGCAGTTCTGTCTTTCAGATCTGCCTCCTTACCATATTGGCTTTCATCCCTCATGCTGTTTTCTTGTGTTTGCTAGAAAGTTGTTGACTAGCCAAGTGTCATGCCCATGTTGAAGGCAAGGAAGAAAAAATGGAAATGGCCTGTGCCAGCTATATATATATCCCCTTTTATGAGGGAAAGCAAAGCTTTCCCAGAAATTCCAAATGGATTCCCCCTTGACTTACTTGCCTGACCAGTTAAATGGCCACTGGTACCTGCAAAGAAAGCAGAGTACATAGCTGTCCCAAATAAAATCAGTATTAGCAAGAAGAAAGAATATTGAGAAAGCAACTAACAGTGTCTGTGACTGTTACATGTCTGTGACTGTTAACATTGTCAAGTCCTTTCCCCTTGAATATAGTTTTGGAAGAATTAGCTGAAGAAGTATGTTGATATTGAATGGCCAAGAGAATGGGCTGTAGCAGACATCTGTCATTTCTCTTTTAGCTGCCCAATATCCTAAATCCTGTGTTTAGGGAATCCCTCACCTAATAAGGCAGAGCATTCCTCCCTCCTAAAGAATTTGAAAGTACCAGGTAAATGTTTTATCAGCCTCCTTTGCAGCTAGGGAAGAAACATCTGCCTTCAACTTTAAAGTTAGTGATACAAAGAAGCAGGGAACCATGCAGATTCCTTTGAAGATGGTGACTAACAACACTACTGCATTCATCTCCACAGAGGAGCAGCAAAAGTGGTTTAATGATAACCTCTAATTCTTTTTTTTTTTTTTTTGGCGGGGGGGGGGACAGTCTTGCTCTGTTACCCAGGCCGGAGTGCAGTAGCACTATCTCAGGTCACTGCAACCTCCACCTCCTGGGTTCAAGCAATTCTGCCTCAGCCTCCCAAGTGGCTGGGATTACAAGTGCCCACCACCATGCACAGCTAATTTTTGTATTTTTAGTAGAGATGGGGTTTCTCCATGTTGGCCAGGCTGGTCTCAAACTTCTGACCTCAGGTGATCCGCCCACCTTGGCCTCCCAAAGTGCTGGGATTACAGGTGTGAGCCACCGCGCCTGGCCCGTAACCTCTAATTCTTGTTTGTTGGCTGTCCTAGAGAACCTGAGAATTACTTTTAATAAAATCATTTTTTTGTTGTTATTAAAACTAACCTGAATTGCCTAAAACCAAGAACTCTGCTTGATAAAATAAGCATAGTTTTAGGAACAGCCATGCAGATATAAATTTTATCAACATTTTATACATAATTTTGGACTTATATTTAAATGTAATATTTGATGCTTATAAAAGGGTAAATGTGGAATGCAAATAAATTATCAAGCATAATAACTCATCACCTAACTTAAGAATGATAACATTACGAGTGCTTGTATTTTATCTATTTTAGCTCTTTTCCTATCTTTGCCCACCCCCCTGCTCGCTTTTTAATAGTTTTATTCACATGTAGAAAGACCTAAAATACATATGTATCCCTAAAGTGACTTATTTTTTAGTTTTCTTTTTTTTTGAACGTCAAAAGAATTGTATCATACTCTTATGTAGTCTAAGGATTTTTTTTTTCACTCAACATGTCTCTAGAATTTATACGTTTTGTTGTTTTATAGCTGTCATTTTCATTGATACATATTTCTTTGTTGGATTATACAACATATTGTTAAGGAATACATACATATATAATAAATTATACATTTTTTAAAAAATCTTTGCTAACATTTTACTTCCTAATTTTTAATTCCCCTTTCCTCTGCCTCATTTATATTAAACACATTTAACTATAAGAGATCATATTTCACATTCTGCAGTTATTTCACTGATATATCTCATGGCAACTTTCAGAGTGAATTAGGGGGTATTATCTGCTAATATAGGAAAAAGCAGATAATGCTTTTTGTTTTGTCACTCCTGTAATGCTAAAGAGGAGGCAGAACCTTCAGAGTTTAAATTAGGTACAACCTCACTCAGTGTCATCTAGCCTCGTAGAAATATGTGTGGAACTAATTGATGAATTTTTATATGTTACTGATTGTTACATTCATTTCTATTTCTTATTTTAACATCTTTGATACTGGGATATGTCTTACACAGGTACAGGTTCCGATGTGGTTGACTGTAAGCATATACAAAATTGGTTTGCACTCATGGGGGACGACTGGACAAAGGCAATCTGAATATTTCAATCAAGCTCAGGACCATTTGAAAAAATAACATGGGTTTTGGCCATTTTCTGTACTTTCCATTGACACCTTTTTATCAAGAGTGTGCCACTATACAAATTTGGAGTATGGCTGGCTGTCTTAGTTTTCTACTGCTATATAACCAATTACCACAAATAACAGTTTAAAGCAACATCCAGATATTATATCACAGTTCTGTAGGTCTGAAGTCCATGCAGGGCTCAAATGGGTTCTTCTCTCTTGCACTCACAAGGCTAAAATCAAGGTGTCAGCTGAAGCCAGTATCCCATATGAGGCTCCAGTCTCCCATGTTCTCATAATTATTGACAAAATCTATTTGAGTACAGCTATACAACTCAAAGACTGTCTTCAAGGCCAACAGGAAATCATCTCTGACTTCTTGTCTCCCACCTCTAGACTCCCTTTTTTTTTTTTTTTTGAGACGGAGTTTTACTCCTGTTACCCAGGCTGGAGTGCAATGGCATGATCTCGGCTCACTGCAACCTCTGCCTACTGGGTTCAAGCGATTCTCATGCCTTAGCCTCCTGAGTAGCTGGGATTACAGGCATGCGCCACCACGCCCGGCAAATAGACTCCCTTTTAAGAATACATCTAAGTCAGGTGCAACCAGAATATCTCCCTCTTGATTAAACCAACTGATTAGAGATCTTAATTATATCTGCGGTAGTCCCTTTGCCATAAAAGAGATATAAGTGATATAGCTTCTCACATCCACGTTTCACCTGTGCTTAAGATGGGACAATACAAGACATGTACAGTGCCAGTGGCAATCTTGGTGGCCAGCTTGGAATTCTGCCTACCCCAGTGGCTTTTAGCAGCTTGGAATAAAATCCTGGAAACCATGAAGCATTCTTTGAGGAAATACTACATTATCAGTGTTCTTGGTGGCCTCAAAATAATTCTATATGAGAAAACCTGGACATCTGTGAACCAAAAAGATTCAGCAAGATCCACCAATGGATGGTGGGCTAAAATTTAAGCAAAAACAGGATATTTATATATGTTTGTGTTAGTTCCTAGAGTTGCCATTACAAATGAACTCAAACTGGGTGGCTTAAAACAAATTTATTCTTTCATAGTCCTGGAGGCTAGAAGTCTCAGGGAGAATGTGTTCCATGCCCCTCTCCTAGCTTCTGGGGTTGCTGGCAATTCCTGTTCCCTGATTTCTAGATATATCACTTCAATCTCTTGTCTTCATAAGGCATTCTCCCTGCATGTCTCTAGTCAGTGTATAAAACTCCCTCTTCTGAGGACACTACTCATTGGATTGAGGCCCACTCTAATCCAGTATAACTTTATCTTAATTTGATTACATCCACAAAGGCCCTATTTATAAATAAGGTCACTTTCTAAGGTTCTAGGTGGGAATGAATTTAAGGGGGACGCTATTCAATTCAGTACATTACCAAAGCATTGCCCTGCCCCCAAATATTTACTAATTACAAAGCGAAGAGTAGTAATTTTACAACGGAGAATCCTGGCAGATATCAACTGATTAAGGTAAACATCATTAATAATACACTTCAACGGCTGGGCGAGGTAGCTCACACCTGTAATCCCAGCACTTTGGGAGGCCAAGGTGGCTGGATCACCTGATGTCAGGAGTTCGAGACCAGCCTGGTCAACATGGTGAAACCCCGTCTCTACTAAAAATGCAAAAATTACCCGGGCATGGTGGTGGGCACCTATAATCCCAGGTACTTGGGAGGCTGAGGTGGGAGAATTGCTTGAACCCAGGAGGTGGAGGCTGCAGTGAGTCGAGATCATGCCACTGTACTCCAGCAACAAGCAAGACCTCACCTCAAATAATAATAGTAATAATACACTTCAACATTATATACCCTGATATTGATGCAATGAGAGGCACATAACCTCTGTAGTCTTCAAAAGAGGGACATTTGTAAAATAGCTGACTGATACTGTTTCAAAGTGTGTGTGTGTGTGTGTGTGTACATATATATATATATATATATTTTTTTTTTTTTTTTTTTTTTTTTTTTTTCAGTGTCTCACTCTGTTGCCCAGGCTGGGGTGCAGTGGCACTATCTGCACTCACTGCAACCTCTACCTCCTGAGTTCAAGTGATTCTCAAGCTTCAGCCTCCAGAGTAGCTGGGATTGCAGGTGCCTGCCACCACACCCAGCTAATTTTTATATTTTTAGTAGAGACAGGGTTTCACCATGTTGGCCAGGCTGGTCTCAAACTCCTGACCTCAAGTGATCCGCCTGCCTCGGCCTCCCAAAGTGCTGGGATTACAGCCATGATCCGGCATGCCTAGACTGTTTCAGTGTTAAAGCTGTAAAAGACAAAGACTAAAGAACTGTCATAGAAGGGAGACAAAGGACACATAAAAACTAAATGCAGTGTGAGATCCTAGATTCGATCCTGGAGGAGAAAATGGACATTGGAGGAATAACTGGTGCAGCCCAAATTAATTTTGTATTTCAAGTCATATCATGTCAAAGTTGATTTCCTAGTTTTGAAAATTATTCTATAGTTATGTAAGGTTAAAATAGGAGAAGCAGGTACAGGGTTTATGGCAACTTTCTGTACAATTTTCTACCTCTTCTGTAAGTGTAAAAATCTTAAAAAAAAAAAAACAAAAAAAATCATCTCCCTGATTTCTTTTTTTTTTTTTTTTTTTTTTTTTTGAGAGAGGGTCTTTCTCTGTTGCCCAGGCTGGAGTGCAGTGGCCGGATCTCAGCTCACTGCAAGCTCCGCCTCCCGGGTTTACGCCATTCTCCTGCCTCAGCCTCCCGAGTAGCTGGGACTACAGGCGCCCGCCACCTCACCCGGCTAGTTTTTTGTATTTTTAGTAGAGACGGGGTTTCACCGTGTTAGCCAGGATGGTCTGGATCTCCTGACCTCGTGATCCGCCCATCTCGGCCTCCCAAAGTGCTGGGATTATAGGCTTGAGCCACCGCGCCCGGCCATCCCCCTGATTTCTAATGAGGCTGGGTATAATTTCAAGTATTTGCCTATACAGGTTTTTAAAAACATACGGACCTTCACGTCTTATCCCCATTTTCCTTTTCTTTCCTTTCGGCTTTTTCTTATTAATGTATTATATATTCATGATACCAATACATTTTTTATATATTGCAAATATATATTCTAGTCTGTTGACTTTTTTATGTTGACTCATGATGAGTGGAATTTTTAAAATATGGTCAAATATGTTACTGAAAAGAGATTCAGAAGAGTTAGACTTTTTGAAGAATACCTTAACAAATTTATTTTGCTTTTTTTTTTTTTTTTACTTCATATACACACAAAAGGGAGACATAATTTAAATCTATGTCTAGGGTGGGCACAGGTGGCTCATTCCTGTAATCCCAGCACTTTGGAAGGCTGAGGCAGAAGGACTACTTGAGCCCAAGAGTTCAAGACCAGCCTGGGCATGGCAAAACCCCGTTTCTACAAAAAAAATACAAAAATTAGCCAGGCATGGTGGTGCACGCCTGTAGTCCCAGCTACTCAGGTGGCTGAGGCAGGAGGATTGCTCGAGCCTAGGAGGTGGAGGCTGTAGTGAGCTAAGATCATGCCACTGCAATCCAGTCTGGACAACAGAGTGAGACCCTGTCTCCAAAAAAAAAAAAAAAATAGTAAGTTTAAAATAGTCCTTTCAATAAATATAAAAATTCTAAGTAGTGGAAGTTTTATTTCATAATTGTATTAGTCTGTTCTCATGCTCCTATAAGGACATACCCGAGACTGGGTAATTTATAAAGAAAAGAGATTTAATTGACTTTCAGTTCCGCAAGGCTGGGGAGGCCTCAGGAAACTTACAATCATTGCAGAAGGGGAAGCAAATACGTCCTTCTTCACATAGTGGCAAGAAGGAGAATGAGTGCTGAGAAAAGGGGGAAAAGCCCCTTATAAAACCATCAGATAGGCTGGGAGCATTGGCTCATGCCTGTAATCTCAGCATTTTGGGAGGCCAAGGCAGGTGGATCACTTGAGGGCAGGAGTTCGAAACCAGCCTGATCAACATAGTGAAATCTCATCTCTAGTAAAAAAAAATTCAAAATTAGCTGGGCAGGGTGGTGCACACCTGTAATCCCAGCTATGTGGGAAGCTGAGGCAGAATTGCTTGAACCCAGAAGGTGGAAGTTGCAGTGAGCTGAGATCATGCCATTGCACTCCAGCCTGGGCAACAAGAGCGGAACTCCGTCTCAAAAAAAATAAATAAATACAAATAAAACCATCAGATATTGTGAGAACTCACTCACTATCATGAGAACAGTGGCACGGGGTAACCGCCCCCATGATTGAATTACCTCCCATTGGGTTCCTCCCACGACATGTGGAGATTATGGGACTACAATTCAAGATGAGATTTGGGTGAGGACACAGCCAAACCACATCATTCCACCTATGGCCCCTCCTGAATCTCATATCCTCATGTATCAAAACATGATCATGCCTTTCCAACAGTCCTCCAAAGTCTTAGCTCATTCCAGCATTAACCGAAAAGTCCAAGTCCAAAGTCTCATCTGAGACAA